ATACTCGACAACCACAGACAGCAGCAGGTTTTGTGACCCACTAATAAATCTTTTCACTATTCCTTAGTGAAAAGCCTTAGCCTTTCACTCCAGGAGACATGGGATACAGGGACTAGAGGAAAGCTAGTCCAACAACCCCTAGAAGAAACACTCTCTTGCATTATGTACACAATCAGTAAGGAGCCTTCAGAGTTTCCAGGACACACTAATCCCAGAATTACTGCAGCTTAATTGGTACAATCACAACTGTTCCTTACCTCCCACTGTGGTACTGGCTGTTGTGGTGGTTGTAGAAGTGGCACTTGTTGTTGTACCCTTTTTAGTGCCAGTCACAAACTCAATCTGGGAAGGGAGAGACACATAGGAAAGGGGAGAAGATAAAATTTTATCTTTTTTTAACCCACAACATCTCTCTATGAGCTGTTCAGAAACAGTTTTAATGTGATGTAAGGCATGAGCCTCTGAGCTGCCCATCGTGCAGGGAAGACACAGACCTCAGGCCAAAGCATCCTGAAGCCATGAGCATTAAGGATTCCTTAAGGCAGATACAATAAAAATGTGTTTGCCAACTGGTGTCAGCATTGGAATTTGATATAGCTCAGACAAGGACAGTTCCTGGTCATTAAACACTGTATTTATATAGCTAGAAGTTCCTGTTCTTTCTCCTTTAAGAATCATGCAAGACAAGTCTCTACTTGAACAATTTGCTGCCACTGCATCATAGCAGGAAACCTGGCAACGAGGGCTACAACAGCTCTGCAGCCTCAAAACTGCAGACGTGGGCAAGGATGTAATCAGATTCCTGAGTTACTGTGCAAAAAAACCCAAAACAGGCAGCAAGACACAGCATGCACTGCACAAAAAACACCTCCAGGCACTGAGCATGGAAGGAGCCTTCTCTAAGGTTACATGGCAACCTCTAACATCAGACAGCCACTAGCTTAAAGGCAACAAAGGTCAGGAATAAAGTCTTCCAAAGCCTGACTGTGTTCCTTTTGGGGTGTACATAACAACTGTGCTTGTCAAAGAATGCACAAGGTTAAAATAGGCCCAGCACTTCTGGAAGTTAGATGCAAGAGGGGAATATCATGGAGAAGAGAAAGTAGATGTTGTCTCACAGTGAGGAAATTAAGCTGTAACTAGGCTGTGCCACCAGGCAAAATGTCATAGATTAAGAAAAAAGCTGTTATTTATGCTTTATCTTGCCTGTATCTAGTTAACTGAATACCATTTTTACAGCTCTGGTTTAAAACCAGAAGGAAATCCAGTGGAATAAACACCCTAGAGAAAAAGGACCTGTAAGGAAGGGCAAACAACTTGATCTGTGCAGCTTGGGAAAAGACATGCAAGAAGAATGGACAGAACCAGGGCAAAATAAGCAGTGTCAGCACAGAAACAGCAAAGCAACACCATGAAATTTATCAGGGAAACAAACAAAACCCTTGAATCTGCATCTCTTTTGGCTTTGAGTAGCTACCTTTGTGCGTTCCTTCTTGGCCTTCTCCAGTTTGTCCATTTCAATCTTCTGGGCTTTAGCTGAGGAAGATCAGAAGATGAGAAGCACTAAGAACAGTAAAAATCCATAGTTCTCTCTCACTCACACAATTACCATCATAAACTTCAATCAAAAACTTCAAATTCTGTATAGAGAATTCAACTGCCATGAAAATAACTACTGCTTTTGAATCAAGGCATTACAGCAGG